AGGTGTGCTCTGATTGGCCAGCTATCCAGTGTGTTGTGATTGGCCGAATACCTCAAGCGTGTGACAAATGTTACGCCCCTCACCATACTGTGTGATGCCTTGTCCTGGCCAGAGCGACGAGACAAAAACATTAAAACCCATTATAAACGAGGTATTTGTTGCATCCAGTGGGGACATAATTATGGATTATAATGACTTATACTGTCTTTTTATGTGTTGCATCGTGCCGCGTAAACATAAAACCATGTTTGCATTTGTGATCGGAGAAATGACAAACAACAAGCGCTACTCTACACTGCTCAAAACTCGTGTTTGAATCATCAGTGGCAAATCCTTTAAATATAAAAAACGTACTTGCAGTCTGTGAGTCAGTACAGTATTAAAGGTAGTGTACTCTACCAGGATCAGGAAACAGTCCTCCATAAAATGTGCTGGACACATCAGAATATTTGGTTTGAACTGTTCTTGAACAGTGTTGTAAATACAACTTAACCACTGATTTCTAGTCGTGTCCTCTTTTGGAAGACCAAACAAAGTAGTTTCGCTTTCACAACAAAACAGCGTCACACACGGTGGACTAGAGTAAGTGGCGAAGAACGGCGCGGCCGGCGGATTCAACAAAGGAGCATCCGGCAGGCTTGCGGCAACCCCATGTGACAACCCCGGGCTGGACTCCGCTTCATCCACGGTGAAAGCCGATCCGGCGATGCACAGCGCGAAGTTGATGCATTTCCTCAGTGACCAGCACGGATCAGCTCCAGGCATGACGAAGCGATATCGTCCTCTTTTGGAAGACCAAACAAAGTAGTTTCGCTTTCACAACGAAACACACAGCGTCTTCACGGCATGGCGGCAGCAACAATACTACAGCGAGAACAAAAGTTACACCTTCTTTCTCTGCGTGAACATTTGGGCGGCGTTATGCAAATCTTCCCACATTGTGACGTAAACGTGGGGGCGTGTTAGAACCAGCCGTTTTAGGTAGGTGTGGTTGACTTAACTTTTATAAAGAATATCTCTTTGGATTTGAGACTTTAGTGTTTGCAACTTTGCAGATCTTCTTTATGCACCAAGAGCTTGTAACACT